CTCCTGCCTCACAGGGTGTCTGTTGTGGGGAGGGGAAGGGAAAGGAGTTTGTAAGCCGCTCTGAGACTCCCTTGGTAGTGAAGGGCCATGGGGTATAAATCCAATCTCTTCTTCTCTCAAGAGCAGTTCTCAAGAGAGCTCTCTCAGCCCCACCTGCCTCACAGGGTGTCTGTGGTGGGGAGGGGAAGGGAAAGGAGTTTGTCAGCCGCTATGAGAGTCCTTTGGGTAGTGAAGGGCAGGGTATAAATCCAATCTCTTCTTCTTCTTCTTCTTTCCAAAATGGGGGGCGGACACCTCTGTTCCGTGACGTCCGCAGCCCTTCCGATTTCATCCAAATGAAATCACGTCCTAATAAAAATCCCTTCCTCCCTAGATTTATGCTTCAAACCCCTGGCTCTGTCTCCCTTTCCCCCCCCCACACACACACCGAAGAGGAGCTGAGAGTGGGGGGAGGGGGGAGGGAAGAGGAGGTGTCTCCATTGAGAGAATAAACCCCATCTTGAGAGCTTCTTTGACCGCAATCCAAAAGCAGGGACGAGAAGGGAACTTCACATAGCCGTGCCCGATGCCTCCCCGCTCCTCCTGAGAGACCCGCTTGGCCACACTCACGGAGACGGCTTGCACTCCTGGCAGAAGAACCCCCAGGTAAGTGGATTTTGTTTGCAGGGTTTTTCAGAAAGAGCAAACCAAGAGGGTTTGCTTGCAGGGAAGTCTTAATATTTCAGCGTGACTCCCAGGTAGCAGGTTTGCAGGCAGGCAAAAGGAGACACATGGATTGATTATTTTTTTTCCCCTAGCAAGAGAAGCATCTAAATCAGACTGCGGAGAGACCAAGACTGACCTTCTCTGGGCTGGCCAGTAGTTTATTTGGGATTGTTAAGTGTCATTTGCAGGGTGGACTTTGAATTGTGGGGGGAAAAGAAATCGTCTGATGTGGAAGACAGAGAGAAGCAGAGGCGAGTTTCACGGATGATATAAGAGAAGCAAATCGACACAGAGGAGCTGGGAGAGAGAGTGCCGACCGAAAGATGATCGGGACCAATGCTCCCTCTAAGCCGTGGGGTCTTGTGAGCAAAAATTCTACTTTGTGAGCTACTGGAGTTAAAGTTGTGAGCCAGCGATTGGGCTGCTGCAGAAATCAGTTTGCTGAGACAAAAATGTGCCAGCCAGAGGCTAAAAAACTGTGAGCGAGCTCACACTGACTCAGCTTAGAGGGAACACTGATCCGGACAATTTGACGTTGTTTAGGAGACACTACAAGTGGAATTGACAGGAAACTTAGGAGGAGGAGGAGGAGGAGGAAGAACCTTGAGCACAATTTAATGAAATGTTCTCCTGTTCGAGTTCCGTTGAAATGAATGGGTGCTGCGTGAGAACACCTTTGCATGGCTGCCATTCATTTCAAAGGGTTGGCTCCCTGATAGGTTATGCGCCCTGGAATGGAATTAAGTTATTCAGAGAGGCTTCTTCCTTGACTGTTGCAAAGCAATCGCGACAACGCTTTAGGTAAGGAGACTTCTTTTGCCTTTATTGTGGCGGACAAAAGTTTTTTCGCGAAAAGAAGGTGGCATGGCAGAGTTCCATCACTGCCCATGATTTCCCTTTTTTTCACCGTTGCCCGTGGTTTACAAGGTCCCAGTTTGGTGTCGTGGTTAAGTGCGTGGACTCTAATCTGGGAGAACTGGGTTTGATTCCTCATTCCTCCACATGCAGCTGCTGGTGTGACCTTGGGTCAGCCACAAGTTCTCTCAGAGCTGTTCTCTCAAGGGCAGTCCTCAAGAGAGCTCTCTTAGCCCCACCTGCCTCACAGGGTGTCTGTTGTGGGGAGGGGAAGGGGAAGGAGTTTGTGAGCCTCTCTGGGGCTCCTTTGGGTAGTGAAGGGCCATGGGGTATAAATCCAGTCTTCTCCTCCTCCTTTTCTTCTTCTTCTTCTTCCCACCATCCCCTCTGATCAAATAAGTCCTGCAGGTTTTAGAAGGACTACTAAAATGTACAGGGATGTGGAATGGCACAGTATACCCCAATCTCATCCGATCTCAAAAGCTAAGCAGGATCGGTACTTGGAAGGGAGACCGCCAAGGAAGACTCTGTAGGGGAAGGCAAATCACCTCTGCTTCTCGCTTGCCTTGAAAGCCTCTTGCTTTCCATAAGTTGCTTCCATCAGTTGGAAGCTAAGCAGGGTCAGTACTTGGAGGGGAGACCACCAAGAAAGGCTCTGCAGAGGAAGGCATTGGCAAACCACCTCTGCTTCTCTCTTGCCTTGAAAGCCCCTTGCTGGGGTGGCCATAAGTTCGTAGCTCAGCAGGATCCCTCTTTACACACACACCAAAATGTAGAGCAAAATCTGTGGAAAGGGGAGAGGGTTTGTAAACCGTAGGGGAAATGCTGCTGTTATACCACCTTCAACTCTTTAACAACAACAACAAAAGCCTCTAACCAAAAACCTGCTCGTAAGGCAGGTTCTCTAGAGGAAGGCCATGGCAAAGCACCTCTGCTTAATTACTTGCCTGGAAAAACCCTTGGTGGAGTCGCCATAAGTCAGTTGCTACTTGCCTGCGCTTTACACACACACCAAAATGTAGAGCAAAACCTGTGGAAAGGGGAGAGGGTTTGTAAACCATAGGGGAAATGCTGCTGTTATACCATCTTCAACTCTTTAACAACAACAACAGCAACAAAAGCCTCTAACCAAAAACCTGCTCAACCTATTTGATATATTACCACCACCACCCCAAAAAAGTGAACTTCTATATTTGCTTTAATGGAGGCTTTTTAAAAGCTAGTTCGGTGTAGTGGTTAGGAGCGTGAACTCTAATCTGGGGGAACCGGGTTTGATTCCCCACTCCTCTTCCACATGCAGCTGCTGGTGTGACCCTGGGTCAGTCACAAGTTCTTTCAGAGCTGTTCTCTCAGGAGCAGTTCTCGAGAGAGCTCTCTCAGCCCCACCGACCTCCCAGGGTGTCTGTTGTGGGGAGGGGAAGGGGAAGGAGTTTGTGAGCCGCTCTGAGACACCTTTGGGTAGTGAAGGGTGGGGGGGTATAAATCCAATCTCTTCTTCTTTTTTCTTTGGCAATCATTTTGTGGCAGGCTCTGCCTCCTGCAGCAGACATTCTGTGGGTG